TGTGAAAATTTCAAGTCAATCGGTCAAGCAGTTTCGGAGAAATATTCCTCAACGACTTTGAAAACATCGTTTCAAGAAAAATGCATTTAAAGTTTTGGCTATTATTTAAACTACCTTTAAACGCTCGAAGACGTCTTTACAAATACGCTCATTACTCCGAAACTTTTACCAGATTACTTTGAAATAAACAGACAATATTCTCGAATACATTCAAAATATGCAGAAAAGAAATTTCGATTTTTTTTAAATTAGAAGTGGATATAACCCCTTAAGTTGAGATTTAATGTAATAGTTTTATTGAAAAAAAATATTGAAAATTTTTATAAATAAAATTAGAGTCAATTAGTAGTGTTAGTGTGTAATGTCAGTATGGGTTATGTGCGTGAGCCGCAGGTAGTCTCAGTTTACGTTGCGTTCACTAGGCTGAGGCTTCTGTAGCTGTGTGTGTTAATAAACGATCACTACTTATCGATGAATCTCTGAGTGGAGTAACTAGTACAGTTTTGGTATCGTTAAGTTGATTATAAAATTTTGTCGCGCGTGTACGCCGGGAGAGTCACGTGCTATAGACAACAAATCCAACGAGGATACGTCAGAAGGAGCTCGTTGAGAATATTTCACTTGGAACCCTTTCGTATCATCGCCCAAATTGGGAAGTGCTAAAGAACTAAGTTAGAAACCGTTGTATTGACGCCGGGAGGGGTCACAACGAGAAATAGTATTGTTGTTTAGTTGTTGTAGTATGAGTGTGTGAGTGATCACCTTGTGAAATTTGGTTGTTAATCAATTTTGGCCATATATTGTTAATTAAATATTTATTTATTTCACAGCCCCTTCCTCCACTCTCTCTACCCTAGACGATAAGCTCTCAGCTTTGGACCGGTTCCAGGAACCGTGAGAAAAATCCTGGTGGCGCCCTTTTATTAAATTAATATGGTTAATTTTGTATAAATTAATTGTTTATTTTTTTATTTATAAAAGAAGCCAACTGAACAGAAAATAAAACCGTATTACTAGCTATAATAAGCAATTAAATTTTAGCATTGTATGTCCTTTAAAAATCATGCAAAGACTGCATCAAGTACAGTTCCACGACTTGTTTTAGCTTCTTCTGGCTTATTAATCTATTTTAATTGTAATTTTGATTGTCACAATGATACTAAATTTTTAGCTCGATCAGCAGCGAAATTAACATTAAAGTTTCCAGTTAAAATTAACGGCATTTTAAAATTTTCATTAAGTATAGAAGAACCTTCTTGTGTATAAATTAAAAGCTGGGTCATTCAATGTCAAATCGACCAATAGTTGGAATCGACCGCGTCCGATTTAAATGAAATTTGGTCACAAGATCGCTTTATTCATAAAATAAAGTTGTGCTAAAGGAAAACATTAAAAAATTTTTTTTCGAAAAGTTATACCCGAGAAAAAATATTTATATATAATTACAGTAGAACCTCGATAAGTCAAACCTCGATAACTCGAAAACCTCCGTAACTCGAAGAAATATTTCATCCCCTTCCCTTCAAGCCATAAATCCTCCGTTGCTCGAAATTTTTACCCTCTATAAGTCGAAATAATTAGTGAGTCCCTACAAGCTATTTCTGTACATTTTTACCCTCCATAACTCGAATACACACACTTGGACCTCTTTATCTCGAATTTTAAGTTATTACTGTATTTAAGTATCTGATTAGGATTACCAGTTTTAGACAATGCAATAGATAATGAACAGCCTTATTTAAAGCAAAAAAAAATAACTGATTTTTTCCAATAAGTTTTTTGAATAAATATGTTGATTATATAATCAAATTCAAGTTCCATATATATGGAACTTGAATTTTTGTATGTGCATGTATTCGACTTTTTCCTTTCTGTTTGTCACCTCCCTAACTCGAAACCAGTTAGCAGTCACCTCCCTAACTCGAAACCCTCTATAACTCGAAAACTCTATAACTCGAATTTTTTTTGCTCTCCCTTGGAGTTCGAGTTATAGAGGTTCTACCGTATATATATTTATATATAAATTGGGTATATATGATTATATATGAAAAATGGCCAAATATAATCATATATAATTATATATAATCATATATAATTATATATAATCATATATTGGGATCCCAATGATTTGGGTACGCCAACTAGTGGCGAAAAGTATAACCTCTCAAAGTAGGCTTGAGTGTCAATGTTTACGTCCGTCTGTAATGCAAGTAGTGAAAACTATTTATTTTATAAAATCAATTAAACTTCTAGTTTGTTAATAATTATTTTTGTGAATTTATATATAAACTTTATTTTAAATTGTTGTAATGGAGTTCTCACCAAAACCAAATAAAAGCAAAATTTATTGCTCCGTTTATGGTTGTAAAAATCGAGCATGTAAAAACGACACGGTTCGTTTTTTTAATTATCCGAAAAAAAATGAGAGTGTGGTTACTATTAAAAATAAATTCGGTGAAGATGGAAAAATTGATCGTTTTAATGCATGGATAAAAATTTTGAAAATGGGTAAAACTGTGACCGCTACGATGAGAGTATGTTCATTACATTTTGTCGCAGAAGATTTTATTCCATCGAGTAAGTGCTAATTGTTAATTTATGATTTTTATTTATTGTGAATGTTTCAAATATATATTTTTTGCTGAATTTTAATCGTCATTATTTTTTTGAAGGTTGTATAGTGCGCAGATTAAAAAAAACATCAGTTCCATCAGTAAACCTGCCGACTCTTTCAACTGACACATCATTGGACTCTTCGAAAGTTAAAAAAAATTCTCTTCGATTGAAAAGATTACAGGATCGAACTACGAAAAAAGAACATAACTTGAACAATATTGGTCAAGATACTTATGATGATAATTTTAATTTCTCCGATTTTTCAAAATTGAACGAAGACACTGTCCAATTGACGAACATGGAAAATGAAAATACTAATCTCCAATCTCATCAAGCGATGAAAATTCTTGTTCCCAATCTAAAGATGCTACAACTCAATTTCCAGAGGTCCAAATCGATAAGGAGTTTCGGGATATGAGCATACAGGTTTCAACAGTATCACTAACTCCAAAATTTACATCTTTAATTACAACTGAGTATGAATTGAGCACAATGACAGGAATACCTGACTTTGCTTTACTGAAATCAATAAAAAAGTTAGTTGATAAAAAAACATCATCTGCCCACGTGAACGCTAAATTTGATAATCAAGAGATTATTGTTATGACATTTATGAAACTGAGACAAAATATGTCGTATGCAGTATTATCAGTTTTATTTAAAATTTGTACTTCTGAGACTTGTCGAATAAGAATTCTAGACATGATTGATATTTTGTATTCATGTTTGAAAAACGTCATTTATTGGCCAAGTAAAGATAATATTTCAAGAAATCTACCGCTATGCTTTAAAAATTTTTT